CCTCCTGGAGGATTAAAAGACGGTACCAATGCAATCCCCTTGGGGTCCTCCTCAAGATTTGAGGTCCAAACTCGAAACAGACAGCTCCAACCTGAAACTGGAAGACTTTCACCAGCCAATAAGCTTGAAGGAAGAGAAGCTCAAGCGGAAAGCCGAGAAGCAGGACTTGGCTTCAAGCGTCTAGGTGGTCTGCTCGAGGAGTAACAGCAACTCAGAAGGTGATTCGTTTGCTAACAACTCAGATTTCTGGATATTTTGCAGTAACTGGTATTTCGAAGAGTCAAGGAGATTGCTGTCAGTGTCATGATGGTTGCTGTAGTAGTTGTTTGCTGTGGCGGTGACGGTGGTTGTCCTTGCGGTGGTTGGGTGGTTGTGGTTGTAGTTGTCCTTGTGGTCGTCGTTGCGGTGGTGGTGATGGCATGTGATGGCGATAGCTTAGAATGGTTGTGGCCTCGGTGGCTGCGGTATTGGCAGTGGTGGTGGCTGAGGCGGTGGCGATGGCTGTGGGGATGGTTGTGGCGGTGGCAGTGGCGGCGGCGGTGGCGGCGGTCGCTGCGATGGTCCTTATCGTGGTCGTTGTCCGGTTTGTGGCGCCGTGGTTGCTGTGTTGTCGGCGTGCTGCAGCGTAATACCAGGACTGCGAAACATGCGTAAGACAAGGAATTGCTCAGAAAAAATGCGTTGAACCAAAGGGCACAGAAACAGGCGTTTGTTTCGCAAAGAGTGTAATTTCCGAATCTTCCAAGGCACCACCGCTGGATGCGGCTGGGTAAGCTGTGGGGAAGAGGTTATTGAAAAGGTCCTAGAGGCTTGTCCGGGCAACAATCTTCCTCAAAGGCAGACAACCCTAGCATTCGCCATGCGCAAGCTGCAGAAGAAACAGGCTGTCAGGTTGCAAGGAATGAGCAATAAAAGTGGATTGTTGGGATCGATTTCTAGTTTTTCGACATTAAGCGAAACGTGCATTCAGTGAAAACCTTTCTTCTGCATTCAAGTCTAAGGTTTCCCCGAAGATTTTACCGATCAGATTCAGCATGTAAAATGGTGTAGCAGGCGTTTTGAAGCGCTTGCTGGAGCACGTGGAGATATTGCCGAATGAGCAATTTCTGCTTCTTGGCGGGCCAAGAGTCTGCGCAAGCCTTTGCGCTAGCTCGGTGCTAGCGACAGTGGGACCGCCGTGAATCTAGGCTCATCCGCAGTCCGCAAAGATGATTTGAGGGGAAGCTTTCGGAAATGTCATTAAGCTTCTCCAAGGCCCAAAGGCCTGCTGGTTGTTGTTGCTGCGGCTGCTGCTGTTTGTGTCAACGCTATAAACCACTCAAGACATAAGCTGACCAAGTTCTCTTTCATTTTATCTTGCAGATGTTTTCAGAGTAATGTGTTGTGGTGAATTACACATGGAAGATTTCGTGGCAAATCGTCATGGTGTTTGGACAACACCCAACTTGGTAAATTTGGGGGCACTTCGTGGTACCAGGTATACGAAAACAAAGTTGAAGACTCGGGATTCCCGCGAAATAAGCACGCTTGAAGCCAACGGGTTACTGTGCGTTTCCCCATGGCGCTTGTCCGTAACCATACCTACATTTCAATGTTCGGAGTGCTTCACCCCTGGTTTCAATGGGTGAGAGTCTTGAGGCAAGGGACTGAATTGGCACATCCTTTCGAAAATGGCAGGAGCGCGCTCGGCAGAAGGCTTCCCACCCGCGTCAGTTTGTGTGTGTTTGATAGAGTGTTGGCGCATTTAAGTTGCCGAGGTATTGGTTTGAGGCGAAGTGGTGGAGGGTTTGGTCTGATTGACAGGGTCTGGGCACATGTCTCATCGGATGATGTGCGGGCGGGTTCTGAAGAATTTCGACTTTGACTGCTAGCTGACCCTAAGGTACCCAATAATTAGGTACTTGGGATATTGGTAACAGTAATTATGGTATAGATTTTGGTAAGTACATGATTATTGGGTACTTGGACCCTTAGGATGAGCTAAGGAATTTAAGAACCACTTCAAACTCGCGACATCCGCATTCTCCAGTCTGGGCTCCATGTGGAGAAGTCGTTTAACAGAGAGTACAGAGAGAGGCTGTATATGAGCTATAGTCTAAACTCCTTAAAGGGGGATTATATAGGGGATTATATAGGGGAGTATTATAGGGCTTATTAAGGGGGATACTAGAAGTTTATTTTACAGCTCATATAGAATTTGCCATCCGCTAAAACATTGCCCGGCCTTGGTAAAGGCCCATGCTTGCACGGTCCAAGTGCAAAAGACCCCAAGCAGCTCTCGGAGCATAAACGTCAAGGCCACAAGCCTTTAAATCACACGAAGCTGGGAGCGTAATGCTTTGAACGCGGAACAGCTGAACGCCAAGCTGTTAAGAGATCGACTTGCAGATGACGGGCCAGAAGACATACCTACTTGCCATTGGTAAGCACAATCTGTAGCAACAGTTACCTTCATCCATTGGGCCGCCATTGTGTTTTGCTTACCTGGACGCCCAAAGGTATGTAAAATAATGGCCTTCAACCTGGGTTCAGGGCTATTATTCTACATACTTTTGGGGTTTAGGTAAGCATGTTAACCGGTGCATATCGATATCTTCTTCAGACCTGCGGCGGGCCCGTGTCAATGAAGAACCGGACATGCCCCCCAAAGTCTCAGACGCAAAGCCCAAGCCTACAGTTTTCATGACCCTTCGATACCGGAAGCACCAGATAGGCCGTGACATCATGACGAAACCCTAGAAGCCCAGGTACCCATCCATATAGTAGGTCCTTGGGTTACAGATAGTATGAAATTATATAGGAGCTTAAGGGCATGAACTCAATATTTAGGTAACTGGGCTTCTAGGGAAAGACAAGAACCCCATATCCGGAGCCCCAACTCTGATGGTCGAGATGCGAGCTGCCAGGAAAAGCTTCTCAAGGAAAAGATCCGACAGGCGCAGTTGCTTCTGTTAACGTATTAGTTCTGACGTCTCGGTTCGTGTTCCCAAGTGTACCCAAATTCCCATTTCCATCTATTTCTTAGGTTTTGTATGCTACTCAAGGCTAGCAAGGGGACAGGTTTTCCCAAGTTTCAGGTATTTTCGCGGCAGTTGTGGAAGGCAGTCATCGCATCTCAGCTGTTGTAGAATGCCTCTATGAAATAGCTATGCATATGATTTCTCTGCAGGTTCCACACAGCTCGACAGCTCTTTCAAGATTCAGAGCTTCAGGGGTCTAGGGTTAAGGGTTCTAGAGGTGCCTCAATGCACACTACTTTGGGTCAAAGTCTGTGGCTGCGTGAAGGTTGGCCTGAGCGGGCACTTTGGGCCCATGGAGCAGCTACTGAACAACAAATCTTGTTACAGAATTTAGCTTCAAACGTGAAAAATGTCCGCCGAGTGCTTCAATCCTTGAAGCCCTGCGCCCCAAACTCCCCCACCCTAAGTCCTAAACTCTAATACTCCTAAACCTCAAATCCAAAACCGTATGCTCCAGGAGCTCAAAGCAAAAGCCCAATCTGGGGAGCGCATTGTCGGCTTTGGCTATCCACCCCCGCCCAAAGTCAAGAGTCTTGGCTTGGGTAGACGGGTGTTTCTCAGAATAACCTCCATGGAATCCTGGGTAGGGACCCCTACCACCTACTAAATCCTTGGTGCTCCCAATTTTGAGAACCCCCCCAAAAAGTTCATGCCAGGTGAGTGGTTTGAGGTTTGGACTGAAGGCTGAGGGGTATTTCAGGATGAGGGTCAAGGCTTAGGGGCTCGTGTCTGGGGTCAAGGGGTTAGGGACCTGTGGGTTTAGGGTGTAGGGTTCAGGGACGTTTGGGGCTTACCCTGATAAAGCCCTAAACCCCTAAACCCCCATGCCTAAGCCATGACTTGACTTCACTAACGAGTTCAAGATTCTTTTTGCTTGGAAGAGTGTAAAGGCCGATGTAGAAGCCTAAATTTTGGATATGACAGTTCTGGACCCCGCGTATTGTTGTAGTTTAGGGGTTTTGTTAATGCGGTACAGCAGGTTTCCGGGGAATGTTGGTAATTTGCCCAGCGCCTGGAAAGAAACGTGAAATCTTAACGACAGTTCCCACTTCCCTGACAGTGTAGGCTATCTGTGGAATCTTTATTTTGCAGCAGCAGGGACCAAAACCCGAAACCCTACAACTGATTTTCAGGTTTCGAGTTCCCTGGAGGTAGCTACGCAGCGGCGCAGGGCTTTAGTGGATACCGGACTCCTGTCGAACAACAGGTTGCCTGTTCAGGGCTCAAGATTTAAGAGATTAGGGTTTACCTAAACCCCAAAAGTATGTAAACTAATAGCCCTAAACCCAGAATCATAGCCATAAAGGCCATTATTTTACATACTTTGAGGGGTCCTAAACCCTAAACCTTAAATAATCTAGTAGTTTCCATTTTCTTTTCCATTATCCCTATATAACCCCTATATAACCCCATTGTTTTACATACTTTTGGGGTCCAGGTAGGGTTTGCCACCTGACTTACCTGAAGCAGCAACTTAAGGACTGCCCTAGGTGTGCGGCATGAAATCTCGAAAATTTTGGACAATACCACTCTTACTGTTATCATAGGTTTAGGGTTTAGGGTTTAGGGTTTGGGGTAATATTGGGATAATGGAAAAGAAAATGGAAACTAGAATATTCTTATATAGGGTTATAGTCGTCCATTCATGAGTGTTGCCTAAGGGTCCTTGTACTCAATAATTAGGTACCCTTTGAAGGGATCTATAGGGGTATATAGAGATATATAGGGTTTAGGGTTTAGGGTCCTTGTACCCAATAATTAGGTACCTTGGGTTTTGAGTAATAGTAATTCTAGTACAGGTTTTGGGCAAGTGTATGATTATTGGGTACTTGGACCCTTATAGGGGTTGCTAGTTTGACAGGGTATGTATGTTCAGCGGCTCATTGGTTGCTACTATTTTTTAGAAGTACAATCAAACAGTTTTGCAGTGTCAGAAGCTTGGAATGCAGCCGCCTGAGGAAAGATAAGAAGGAGAAGAAGGACAAGAAGAAGTCAGGCGCGTGTCTTTTGTCCTCTTCCAGCTGCCTCTTAGAGCGTCTTGATGATGAATACCAGGTGGGTTTCTCCAAGAAGTTACCATGGCTTGTAGGAGAAGCTCAACTACTGCGGGGCCCAGTGCAACCCATCTCAAACCCTAAGCCCGTAACCCTAAACTCTAAACCCTAAACTAAAAAGGCCTTAGCCCTTAACCCTGTGGCTCCATTTCTTGAAGCATGCCGAAGGCGAGGCGAAGGAGAAGTCGTCGAAGCGAGCCTCCAAAAAAAAGGAAAAAGAGGCCTCCTTGGATCGGGATACACATACATACATATACAGGGTGTTAAGAGATCTAGATATATAGGGTTTTATAGGGAGAGAGAGAGAGAGAGACAGAGATACGTATGTATTGGACTTTATAAGGATTTTCGAATGTACGGAAATGGAACTTCAAATGGAAACTATTACACTTGCGAACGTGAAGGCTCTACTAGGCTACAAATTGGGCTTTACATCCGCTCATTGGGGTTGGCCTGGTTGCGCTCCCATTTACTCAGCCTAGCTAGCTTAATGTGGGGTCCTGATTAGTAGTGTGGGCCGCCCCCCAAACAAAATGGGGTCCCTACTTAGTATGGTGGGGCACCCCACAAAACTGGATCCTAGATTTTACATGAAAATCAATAGAAGGGATCAGGATCGGCTCGGTCATCAATCTAGGCATTTAGAAGGGTTTCTACTGAATTATGCTCAGATTTTCTGTTTTGGCCGCGCAACTTCGCACAAACAAGGGCCCACACATGAATCAGGGGGTTCTGAAGAATTTCGCCGAAGCTTCGCACAATCAAGGAACCCCACACTAATGGGGATCCCACATTATGTACATGCATCAAGTGGGTTTGTGTAAGTCCCCTAACTGAGCTTGGCCTGCTTATACTTTGCTTATGGCCTACATACTGAGACTATGTCAGTTAGATGTCTTCATAAAACATGGTTGAGTACATGGGGCTGGCCATTACCCTAAGGGTGCAAGGACCCAAATAATAGGGCTCTTATTTTTGTACTAATAGCATTTGGGCCCTGAAGCCCTCTTATTTGGGTTCTTGGACCCTTAGGGTTAAGATCTGCATACCAAGTTCCCTGAGCCTCGACAAAATAAAGAAGTGTTGCAGGAAGGGTATTTGGGGATCTTATGATAATATGCCCAAAGCCATATTCTATCTACATAAGGGGGACTACATATGGGAGGGCCGAAAAAAATCATGGGTCCTCTTTAGGGCATTTGCTTACAAGAGTTATAGTATGTTTTTTTGGAACTTCTATGCAGGACTTTGCGCGGATCATAATAGCTGTACATACGGGTTCTCGTGGGAACTATTTGAGGACACGTATCAGATTTCGGGCGCAATAAACAAATTGCCTGTGTACGGACTTTACCCCTAAACCCTTAACCCGAAACCCTGCAGGATCCAAAGGGGTACATGCAGGATGCTGCTTGTGGAGGGATTCGGCGTTTAGGGTTTAGTGATGGTTTAGGGCTTAGTGGTCGCAAAATGCCTTGTGAACAGCAGCAACAGTACCGACCAGAGTAATTAACGATGGTACTAGTACTCCTATCAGGAAGAATCGTGGCAACATAAATACCAGCAGTAATTGTGATACTAGTAAGGGCTGTATGGCTATCCTAGGGCTTTCTGGTTTAGGGCTTAGGGTTCAGGGTTGGCAACCGATACTAAGGGGTCGATAAAGGGGTTATATTGTATTTACAGAGGTTATAGAGGTGTTATATATAGGTTATATACGAGAATATAAGGGGAAATCTTGCACCAAAGACTAAACCCCACAAATTTTAGTTATGGAGATTCCCTAAACCCTAAACCCTAAACCCTCAAGTGGTGAAAGAGTGCCTCCATCCACCGTAGGTCATTCTTGGAAATATCGTTTCTGTCTTGTTAGACCAGATGCCAGTACAGGATGAATAAGTTTCATGTTCAATAACAAAGAAACGGGATACATGCCAAGAAACCCTGCAATCCCTATTTAACCTGTATGCAGCCCCTATATGTGAGCCTTCATTAATGCAGGAGCCCTCCAATGCGTGGTTCTACCCTAAACCCACCAACCCCAAATCCCCAAAACCCTAAGCCCCAAA